AAGAAAGAAAGAAAGAAAGAAAGAAAGAAAGAAAGAAAGAAAGAAAGAAAGAAAGAAAGAAAGAAAGAAAGAAAGAAAGAAAGAAAGAAAAAAACAAGTGGTCAATAAATTAGACCATTTTGGCAGGAGGCTTGAATGGTAAAATATGCATGGAAAGCTAAAGTATAAGGAGCAAATCGATAGGCTACTTCCAGATGTGCTAAACTAGAGAATGTCATAAGTGGCAATGAGCCTACAGACTGTAACATGAAACTTATCTGGTTTTCGAGTCTACTTGGAGTTTTTAAATGATATTCTAGGGTTTTGGGGAGGGATGATCATGGTGATTTCTGAGCTCCATGGGAAAAATGTGATATAAAGGTAATAACAATAGCACTTAGACTTACATACCGCTTTACAGTGCTCTACAGCTCTCTCTAAGCGGTTTACAGAGTCAGCCTATGGCCCCCAACAATCTGGGTCCTCATTTTACCCATCTCGGAAGGATGGAAGGCTGGTTCAACCTTGGGCTTGGTGAAGTTTGAACTGCCAAATTGCAGACAGCCAGCAGAAGTAGCCTGCAGTACTGAACTCTAACCACCGCACCACCATGGCTCATATATTATTATTTATAATATATAAATTAACAACAAAATGGAAGAGTCCAGGATAATTCTGCAGTTCTTCACTAGATGCAACCGATCAGGCTTCTTACCTGCTCCAGAAAGGACCTCTTCCAGTCCACTGATATTATCCACAGGACACCTGCAATCAATTCCTTTTGATTCCTCCTGAGTGGTGGGGAGATCAAGCTTGGAATTCTGGGTTCCCTCGAACTCAGCGGTCATGCTTTAACAAGAAAGGGGGGGGGAATTATAACCTTTGATCTCCTCTATTACATAACAACTACATGTTGCTCACCAGAAGCACACATACCCCGCCAGATATCAAACAGCGTTCCCACAAGATGAATGCATGTAAGGTCCATTAAGGAAAACACCTGAGTATTTGTGGGCACTGAGAATTCAAAGATTGGCTGCCGTCCCTTCTCTTGGCACCAAACGTCACGAGATGCTGGATCTCCATTTCAATTTATCAATCCTAATTACCATATTTTTGGAGTATAAGATGCACCTCCCCCCCAAAAAAGGGTGAAAATTTGGGTGTGTCTTATACACTGAATGTAGCCCCACCCACCCACCAGTCCCAACCCTTTGGCCTCTGCCTCCCAGCAATTTACCTCCTTGCAGCAAATGGGGAAAATGGGGTTTGCGGAGGCTGTAATAGGCTATAGCAATCCCTGCAGCATGAAACAGCTGATGATCGGGAGGCCCAAGCTGAAATTGAAATTGAAACTTGCTGTTTGCTCCACAAGGCAAATTGCTGGGAGGCAGATTTTTTTTTCTTGTGCTAATCAGGCTGTTTGCTGCAAAGAGGTAAATCAATAACTAAAAATGCCTATAGAACGTTCCGTGGCACGACATAACTGCGAACGTCAAAAGCGCGCCGACAACACCGCGGCATTAAAACCGCGATGTCAAAAGCGCGCTGACAACAGCGCGCCGACAGAATTGCGATTTAACTTAAGGTAAGGTTTAGGGTTAGGTTTAGGGTTAGGTTTA